AATAAAAATCCTAGAAGAAACTGTAGGCAACAAAATTTCAGACATCACATGCAGCAGAATTTTCACTGATACATCACCTAAGGCAACAGAAACAAAGGAAAAAATGAACACATGGGACTACATCAAACTCAAAAGCTTCTGCACAGCGAAAGATACAATCATCAAAATTGAAAGGCAACCCACTGTATGGGAGAGCATAATTGCCAATGATATATCAGATAAGGGGTTAATTTCCAATACATATAGTCCTCATACAACTCAACAAAAGGAAGACAAAGAACCCAATTTAAAAATGGGCAGAGGAAGTAAATACACACCTCTCAAACAGGACATAAAAATGGCTAAGAGACATATGAAGAAATGCTCAACATCACTAATCATCAGAGAGATGCAAATTAAAACAACAATAAGGTATCACCTCACATCTGTCAGAATGGCCGCCATCAACAAATCATCAAACAACAAGTGTTGGCAAGGGTGTGGAGAAAAGGGTACTCTAGTACACTGCTGGTGAGAATGCAGACTGGTGTAGCCACTATGGAAAACACTATGGTGTTTCCTCAAAAATTAAAAATTGAACTTCCATTTGACCCAGTGATCCCACTTCTAGGAATATACCCTAAGAAGCCTGAAACACCAATCAGAAAGAATGTATGCACCCCCATGTTTGTAGCAGCACTATTTACAATAGCTAAGATCTGGAAACAGCCCAATGGCCATCAGTAGACAAATGGATAAAAAAGCAGTGGTACATATACACAATGGAGTAGCATGCAGCTGTAAGAAAGAAAGATCTCTTATCCTTTGAGATGACATGGAGGAACCTGGAAAGTATTATCCTAAGCGAAACAAGCCAAACAGAGAAAGACAAGTATCATGTGATCTCACTTATTTGTGGAATATAATGAACATAATGGTCTGAGGAATGGGTAGTCCCAGAGACGTAGAAGTGGGGTACAGACTGACAATCCCCAGAAGAGAGGGTGGTGGGGGAGAGATAAACCACAGAACTTATATGCATGTATGCATGAACAGTGGACATGGACAACAAACCTGGGGACAGGGTGGGGAGGGAGGGAGAGGGGCAAATCAGTGGGGGGAAAAAATGAGAAACATCGGTAACAAAAATAAATAAATTATAAAAAAAAAAAATAAGGAGAAGGAAGGAAGGAAGGGAGGGAGGGAGGTAGGGAGGGAGGAGGGAGGGGTGGGCCAATCTTAAGAGTCATTGTAGCTCTCCCTGGCCGGTTTGGCTCAGTGGGTAGAGTGTCAGCCTGAGGTCCAGACAGACCTGAGCTCGGTTCCCGCTAAGGGCACGTACCTCGGTTCCAGTTTGCCCCTGGCCCTGGTTGGATCGTGCAGGAGGCAGTCACTCGATGTGTCCCTTTCCCATCAATGTTTCTCTCTCTCTCTCTCTCTCTCTCTCTTCCCCTCTCTCCTTCCCACTGTATCTGAACCAAAAATGGAAAAATGTCCTTAGGTAAGAATAATAAGAAAAAAAGTCATTACAGTTCAATGCATGCTAAACTCGCCCTGGCTGGTTTGGCTCGATGGTTAGAGCATCGGCCTGTGGTCCAGAGAGACCTGGGTTCGGTTCCCGCTAAGGGCATGTACCTCAGTTGCAGTTTGTCCCCGGCCCTGTTTGGGTTGTGCGGGTGGCAACCACTCGATGTGTCCCTTTCACATCGATGTTTCTCTCTCTCTCTCCCTCTCGCTCACACTCCATCTGAACAAAAATATGGAAAAAATATGGAAAAATGTTCTCGGGTGAGGATTAAAAAAAAACAAAACATGCTAAACGCAGTGAATTGGGAGGCCAAATGTGTCTAGATAAAATCCATGCTCTTCAGCAGTGTTTGGAATCACAATAAGCTGCTTTCACTAGGCCTCACTGTGACACAGACAACGTTATTCAGGTGAGTTATGCAGTGGGTGAGCTAAATGCAAAGAAGCTGAAGCCTCAGATAGAGGGAGAGTCTGTGAAAGAGCTCACGGTGGCTGTGGAGTTGTTAGCACCAAATTAAATTTGTTTCAGAGTGTTAGTTTTTCTGGGAGATGGTCACAGATCAGATTACTGATTTAGGACAACATACTGAAAAAACAATGAGGGATTCTGCCGGAGATTTCCAATTTTTCTCTCTGGCTTGTTTTGAGACAACAGACATAACAAATACTGCCCAACTGGCCATTTTTGTTCGTGGGATAACTAAAGAGTTTGACATGCAAAAGGAACTGCTGTCACTGGAAGCCATGCATGGCACTACAGGAGGTGAGGACTTGAGAGATTTACTTTATCAATGAAAAAACTTAGGCCACTACAGATGGAGCTCTAGCCACGGTTGGCTCGCAAAAAGGGTTAATTGCATTAGTCAAGAAAGGAATGAATCATCTCAAGTCTTGATCCAAGTGATTTAATTATATGCCACTGCCTCATACACTAAGAAAGTCTCTGTGCACAGTCCTTGGCAGCGTAATGTGATGTCAGCAGTAGTGTCATGCATACATTTTGTCAAAAGCACGGGGTTTAACAGATGCCAGTTTAAGGAGTTACTGAATGATCTTAGCTCTGTGTACAGTGATCTTGTTCATTTATATGAAGTGCTGTGGCTAAGTCACGGGAACATCCATGAGGGGTTTTTTTTATCCTTACCCGAGGACATTTTTCCTTTTTGTTGTTGTTGTTCAGATAGAGTGGGAAGGAAAGAGAGAGAAAAAAAAAACATCGACGTGAAAGGGACACATTGAGTGGCTGCCACCCACACGACCCAACCAGGGCCGGGGACAAACCGCAACCGAGGCACATGCCCCCCAGCGGGAACCAAATCCGGGTCTCTTGAGACCGCAGGCCAAGGCTCCAGCTGCTGAGCCAACCCGTCCGGGGCCATCCATGAGGTTTTATGAACTTCTGGATAAAGTCAAGCAGTTCATGGAGAGGAGGGGAAAACCTGTCAGGGAACTCAATGATAGCAAGTGGCTGTGCGATTTAGCATTCATGGTGGACATTACCAAGTACCTGTCAGAGCTGAACATCAAGCTGCAGGGCCCCAACCAGCTTCTCAGTTCCCTGCTTTCCAACGTGAAATCATTTGAAGCTAAATTAAGGCTGTGGAAAGTGCAACTCTGGAAGGACAAAAGCCTTCTATGACATTTGAATATGCTGGTGAATGTGCGAAACTAATTTAATGAAAGATTCAAGGTTGTGAAAAGTAAATGGAACTTAAAATTTTTGCTACACTGTTCAATGTGGATCCACCTGATATGCCTGATAACCTACAACAAGAAACCATTCAGCTGCAAAGCAATGATGAGCTGAAAGCGAGGTACATCAGCCTCCCATTGCTTGAATTCTATAAATGTTACATAAGCAATGATGAATTTCCCACTTTGAGGAGACATGCGTTAATATATGCATCTGTGTTCAGAACTTACTGCTGTGAGCAGTTCTTTTCAAAACTTAGCATTGCAAAGAGTTGACTGTGCTCCAGATTGACCAACACAAACCTGGAAAAGCAGTTGCAAATAGCAACATTATCAGTACCAGCTAACATCACCCGCCTCACCAAAGAGAAGCAGTTCCAGCCATCACATTAGGGGTCAGTTAATTAAATGTTAGACCAAATATAGCACGCTAATTTTTAAGCTGATAATTTTGTACGGTCTGCAAATGATATTATAAATATAAAAATGGCCCTTGGCAAAAAAAAAAAAAAAAAAAAAAAAGGTTCCCCACCCCTGGCATATTGGGACGACGTTCTAACCAACTGAGTTACCCAGCCAGGGCTGGTACATGTTTTCTTTTAAACACTCTCCAACAAAACTTGCTGTTGTTTCTCTGGTAGCAATCTTAGAAGTGTACTGCTGTTACACTAGTTTCAGCTGCCACACACAGACTCAAGCAATTCATCCTAGTAAAAATACAAGATTACTGTCACCATTTTTTCTTTGTACAGATTATATTTGACACTACAATATCAAATACAATCGTCCTAACTGTTTTATTAGGTTTTCCCTATATTTGCTAACTCCTTATTTTTTTGACATTAATTATAGACAAATACCATCTTAAAATTTCTGTATAATTATGAGATTAAGAATGCACATAAGCCCTGGCCGGTTTGGCTCAGCGGTTGGAGTGTTGACCTGCAGTTCCCACTAGGGGCACGTACCAAAAAAAAAGAATGCACATAAAAGCAGTAGCAATAGCTAAAGATCCTTTCTTTTAAAGATATGGGCAAAGAACCTTCTAAAAGAAACCTTTTTTTCCCCATTAATCTTCACCCAAGGATATTTTTTTCCATTAATTTTTTTAGAAGGAGTTAAAGGAAGGGAGGGTGGGTGGGGAGAGAGGGAGGGGCAGAGAGAGGGAGAGGGAGAAGATGGGAAAGGGAGAGAGAGAAAGAAACATGGATGTGAGATAGACACATCGACTGGTTGCCTCCCCCTTGTGCCCTACCAGGGCCTGGAAGCGAATCCGACACCAATGTACACATCCTTGACCAGGAACTGAACCTGCAGCCTGTGACCCTTCGGTCCATGGGCCGATACTCTAACCACTGAGCAAAACCAGCCAGGGCAAGAAAACCATTCTAAGGTAAAACAATTATTACCTTAGAGGCAGGAGTGACTGGTAATACCACATAGCCAAATCCAGAGTAAAAATCTAAATACTCAGAAAAGAGCAAAAGTATATTATCTTTAAACCTATCATTTATATACTTAGATGTATATTTATATAAGCTAGAGGATTAAGGCATTTATCCAGATCTATCTAGCATTCATTATGAGGCACTTTTTCTAGACTCACAACTAGAATTTGAAATATATGCCCAGAAGATGCAACAACTTTTTAAAGGGAAAAAACAAAAACAAAAAACAACAAAATGAAAAAAACCAACCCTTATTTTCATATACAGGACTTCACAGTTTTTTAAGCATTCCAAAATCCATTATTTTCTCTAATAAGCTACATGCTGCTACTATGCATCCAGACGTGGTCTTACCCTTTGTGCCGGCCCTCTCTGTGGACTTGGTTCCTCTGGTTTTCCAAATACATGGCCTCTGCCTAGAGGTCTTGCCCTGCCCAGGGCTGAGTCCAAAGGTTTAGGAGCTTGTGGCCAAGAGCCTGGCATCTGTACACATTGAGATGGGTGCCCAGAAGGGCCCCTGAAGGGTTGTCGGACAGGATCCATTGAAAGGCTGCAAAGGACATGGGTGTCAATCCTGTTCTGGTTAATTACCTGCCAGCATTTTATAAATACTAAAGATTCCCAACTGTTTTCCTTTTCCTTGAAGATAAACTCACAAAGCATTAAAACTTACTTTGGGTCAGACCAGTGATACAACCAGCCTCCTATATTATGCTCACTGCAACACCTTTTCCTTATCCCAGAATAAAACACTCCCATTAGCAATCCCTTAGAGACTAAGTCCTCCTTGAATTTTCCTGTATTTTCTATCTAAACAGCCTCTTGGAGAATTCAGCTGGATTAACTATCTGTTTTAGAAAGGAGCATATTTTATGTATGAGCATAAGAAATTAACACCTATATCACATACATTAATATTCTGTCAGTAAATATTTATGGATTTTGCTTTGTTTTGGGCCTCTCTTTCCTTTACCACGACCTATTTTTGTTCCCATTCATTATCACATTAAACTATTCCATCTCCTCCTTGATCTCTTTAGTAGCTTCTCTGTATCTTATCCAATTCTTTTCTATAAAACTTTTCAAACTCCACCCAAACTGAAGTCTCCAGGGTACAGACCCTTTCTGCTTTGAGCCTACAATATCTGCTGAATTTTAGGTGACATTTAACACCTTTTCTCCCCCCAGGTAACCAGGGAGGAGGCTCTTTCTGCCTCACAAATTTCAGGCCCTCTTCAAAATCACTTTATAATCTACAGATTCTTCTTTAAAGAACTTCCTTCATTGTCCTGACCCACCCCTGATCCCTGAAGAATCTTTCTTAACTGAAAACTTAAGTAAGCCTCTTCTTAACTTTTGCAAACCTGTCTTAAGTACTAGCTAGAGAAATCAGGCCATGTGCAGAAAAAAAGACGGACGTGCAATACTTAAGTCAATACTTAAGTCCAGGAGCTGACAAAAAAAATTTTAACTATCCTTTTACACTAAAATGGCAGGATATGCCTCCCTCCCGCCCTCCAAGACTCTCCCTTTAAATTCCTTAAACTCCTTTTCAGTTAGCCTGGCCTTTTGGCTCACACCTTCCCAGCACTACCGGAAGAATCCAGAACAAGCAGTTGTCTACCTGGGACACACTGAGAAGCACTTTAACACCCACCAATTAAGGATTTCAGGAATCTTCCTCATTCTCCACCCCTCCCTCACCTCCATCATCACGTTTATAGACTGGGCACCTCCTCCAGAAGGCCCTCCCTTCCTGTGGATGTTCTCCTTTGATTAGTTAGCAGATAGTTGGCTATGATCCAACAGGGAGGGGGTCCCAGGTGAGGCCTCCCCCCAAACACCCCTCAAGCTCTGGGCGGGCCAATAGGACTTGGGCCTAACGGGAAGGAAGCCCCCCACCCCCATCCTGATGGCAAAAGCACCATTCCCCAAACCTGGAGCTCCTGCCCACCATTTTGGTCCAAATAACACTCTCGCCTACCCCCCCACCACCGTGAGCCCCTTCCTCCTTGGGCCTCCACTTTCCTACCTTTTTGAGGTCCCACGTCCTCCTACACACCCAGCCTCAAATAACCACTTTCCTTCCGGGGCCTCACCCTGAGCCCAAGGCCCCTCTCACCTGGGGGGTGGCGGCGGATAGGCCCACAGTCAATGTGGAGGGACACCACTCGCCACCACAAACTTGAGTGGAAGCCCACTGGCCTGCACCGGAGCGACCTTGGCCTCCCCGGCCTTCCACACGCGCGTGTATCCACTCACCAGGGCCCGAGCCCTCACCGGGCTCAACGGGCCTCAGGAGAAACCAGCACTCAGGGCACCCGCCACGCCCACAGACCCACGTGCTCAGACCTGAATTTTTTTCATCCTCTCGCGGGGCCTCAGCGGCTGAACCCATTGGCCAAATGACATGCTACTCACAAGATCCAGCACCCTCACTGGTTCGCCTACAAAAAGAGCCTCTCCCTTTCTAGCAGCCTCGTTCCCTCGAGGTAACTAACGGGTTCTAGAAACGGGGGTCCAGAAGTTGGGAGTGAACGTGAGCATTGAACTGTGTCACGTTTTTAAAACCCTGACTCCCTTTATGTAGGCAACTCCTGTAAACAGACTTAGCTTACATGTTGAAATTGATTTGCCTCATCCTTTCTAGTTAGAGGATATAGTGGTGAATAGGAAAGAGTAAACTTAAGATTACAGTTAAACACCTAATAATGTGCCCTGGCCGGTTTGGCTCAGCGGTTAGAGCGTCGGCCTGCGGTCCAGAGAGACCCGGGTTCGGTTCCCGCTAAGGGCGCGTACCTTGGTTGCAGTTTGTCCCTGGCCCTGGTCGGTCGTGCGGGTGGCAGCCACTCATATGTGTCCCTTTGACGTCAATGTTTCTCTCTCTCTCTGTTCCTCTCTCTCCCTCCCACTCTACCTGGACAAAAAATGGAAAAATGTCCTCGGGTGAGGATAAAAACAAAACAAAAAACACACCTAATAATGTGATCTCTGCGCCTCACTTTCTTTATATATAAAACAGAAATAAAAGCATCCATTCATAAAAATGTACATACAGCCCTGGCCGGTTTGGCTCAGCAATTAGAGCGTTTGCCCACCAACCACAGAGTTCTGGGTTCGGTTTCTGCTAAGGGCACGTACCTCAGTTGCAGTTGCTCCAGGCCCCTGTTGGGGTCATGTAGGTGGCAACCAGTTGATGTCTCTCTCACATCCATGTTTTGCTCTCCCACTCCCTCTCTCCCTCCTGCCCTATCTGAATATAAATGCAAAAAAGTCCTTGGGTGAAGATTTAAAAAAAAAGAAGAAGAAATGTACATACATTCTCGAGATGATGTATGTAAAATACTTAGCACAAAGAATAGATTCCCTGCAATAAATGTTGCCTGTCATTTTTTTATGCCTAAATCTGTGAGCCAAGAAGAGCTTTCTTCAAACTGTATAAAAGTATTGGTGTTTAATTCTGCTATTATTGAATAATTTCACCCCAACCATAAAGATTTCTCCCCCTCTTCTAACCATTTTGGCAAATAATTGCACCCCTCTCCAATCCCACTTTTTCTGAGGTGATTAGAGTCAAGACCGAGAGATCTTGGCTTATGCTGTAGAGACATGCAAGTGCTCTGCATGGTATAAGTCAGAAGAAGGCTTTTCCAAGCCTCAAATGTCTGATATCTTGTATTAACCCATACATCTAAGGACTTTCCTCTCCTTCCCAAATCAGAATAGAGTTTGAAAATTATTGGAGCCAGAGGATTTTCAAAGCAGGAATCTATTGGCAGAATACCCCTTTGCTCTTTGTAGATGTTATTTGTTTAACATTATACTATGACATTGTTAAGTTCTACTGTACAACCTTATGTTATAATAACATACAGGCAGAATTATTTTGTTGCCCATGCAAACATTTAGCAGCAAGTGCACGGAAGAACAGTTATACAAACTGTTTTGTAACCTTGATAAAGCCCCAGTTCCCTGTTGTTTAAAGTACTCTTACCAAACCTTGCATAAAAGATTCATTTCATACCCCGGAAGTGATATTTCAGGGGCAGGATTCAGGATTCAACAGATCTTTTTTTTTTTTTTCTTTTAATTTGCACAGGGGCCATGCTAATCTTCTCTGTATCATTCCAGTTTTAGTATATGTGCTGCCAAAGCGAGCACAACAGAACTTCACAATAGCAATCCTCAAATAATTTTTTGAAACCATCTTTTTGTAATCTAAACCAAAGCACCATTACAAACGGTATATGCATTGGGTTCCCTATGTTTCTACATCCTGTCATGCAGGAGTAGGTGGCCTCTGTACAGTATTTATTGCCAATATGTACATCACAAATACTGTTTATTTCACCAAAGGAAAACCTGTATATTCTCAGTGTTAATTGGAGATAAAGATGATTGAAGCTCTCTAAAGTGTGGATATCTGTTTAGAACCTTCTGTGCTGGCATATTTATAACCCCATAATCGATGATTGGTAAATTATTGTGCTGCTCCATAATTGATGATTGAGAAAGTCACTGTATGCCCTCTAGCTGAACCTGTTCAGTCAAAATAACCTTAGTAAATTGGAATATTCTCTGAACCAAGAAATTGTTGGGAGCCTGCTACGTGTCTGACGGAGTCCACAGAGCCTGGAGATCTTGAGTCAGAGACTCGACCTCCCTCACAGTCTCAAGGAATCAGGCTTGCATTGTGTTTGTGCAACTCAGGGCAAAGTGTGACCCAATGTACCTTGAAATACCTGAAATACCTTGGTGTTCCTAGGTGCGCCTGGGTGTTCCTGGATGTGCCTAGGTGTTCCTGTTATCCATAAGGCAAACTAATTCTATACAGCATTGCTGTGGCCCGGGCCATTATATCAGGAAGATCCTGGACTTCTGGTCAAGATGGCGGCATAGTTAAATGCGGTATCATGTCCTTCCACAACCACATCAGAGTTACAACTAAACTACTGAACAACCATCATTCAAAACCGCCTGAAATCACGCTGAATGGAAGTCCTACAACTACGAAATTAAAGCAGCAGCCACATCCAGACTGGTAGGAGGGGCAGAGGCTGACGGGCTGGTCCCACACCCATGCGTGGCAGATACAAATCAGGAGGATTCCTCGGCTGGGAAGGTCCTCCCTGAAGACTGAGGGGTCCCCCTCCCACACCAGGCGCCCTGCTCAGGGTTCCAGTCCCAGAAAGAGAAGTCCCCATAACTTCTGGCTGGAAAAACCAGCGGGAACTGAGGGTCAGGGAGGCTGAGGCGGCTGGAGCCCCGGCAGCTCCTCTTAAAGGGCCCGTGCACGGAGTTACTGAGACTTGCTCTCTCTAAGCTCGGAGGGGAGGCAGCTCAAGGGGCACCAGAGACATGCAAGGAAGAACCGAGCTGTTTGGCACTGGAGCGAGGGCAGGAGAGGGGGCTTTCTCCGGGACAAACGTGCTGTCAGAGGCCTTTGTTCCTTTGGTGAGCCCTTCACTGGAGCGGCAGACAGACGCCATATCTGGGACTCCAGCAACCTGGCTCACACTGTTTGCCCCACTTTGGTGATTCCC